GTATAGTTCGCTGCGGCGGTTCGGTGTATTGGGCGACATGAGTTTGGCGCGTTGCCAAACCCATTCGCCACCCAGGCTACAACATGGGGGTGGGCGAAATGGCGGTGTGAGTACTAGCCCCCCCCCTTCAAAGAGGGTCCGGTTACAACTCTCTCCCCCTCTCCTGCTCTAAACAGTCGTATGGTTTTTTGAAGAAATGGCTTCCTAAAGTGAAATCAGGGGCAACTTATTATATAACAAGGACCATTATTAAAACAGATCATTAAAACAGCAAACAATGGTGATCATTGATAAGCAAAGTTGCTGGAAAAAATAGCCTCAGTCAGAAGTCAGTGTGTCAGGCCCCAGATGTGCAATCAGTGGATGGTGACGTGGAAATCAAACACCTGGACGCTATTCTAAGATAAAAGTCATCCCTTAGTCGCGTGAACATGCACGAGACAACAAAGCGAAACATGCATAACACAAAAAAATGTAAAAATGGAAAAAAATGAAATACCACGCGGCAGTATATCGATCGTCACGGTACGAAAGCAACTGCAACGTTGTGACCGCTTTCTTGGGATAACGTTATTGGAGCGCAGTTGTTGACACAGCTACCGTCCTGGAGTCCTCTCGGAAGGTTATTATTCTTTCAGGTGCGGAGCTTTCCAGGAATGGTAAGCAGTGTGCGAAGGCAATTTTCAGTTGCGTTTTCTACCTAGTTGCAAAACCGAATAATTTCCCGTTCGTGAAATATTTCGAATGGGTTTCGAATAGGCTAAATGTAAAACGCGAATGGGTTTTTATGCTTCACACGAGAATTACTTATTTTGAACGCAATTTCATCAGAACCAAAACAATCTTCAGGGCGTCCTATCTTTTTCATTTCCAACAAGCTTTTCCTGAAGACCCGCTAGTTCAGGGAGATATTTTAGATGGGTTACCAACGCGCTAGTCTCTGAGCCACTCGAAAGTTGGACTCCTTTGCTGCCACCATGGGTATTCAAGAATTCCAGTATGCCTCCAAAACACATAATCTCGCTCACATGAGTGACAAAAGAGCTTGATTATACCATTGACCATTTGCAGTGACCGATTTTTTCCGAGTGTGCGTGCATTACGCTTCTACGCAGAGATGGTGGAAAGGTGTAACTTCTGATTTTAGGTGATTTTTGTCCATGCAAGCA